CTATAAAATGGAATACACATTCTTTTCTCATTTAGTAAGTAAAATGAGACACATCAATTCTGAAATTGGGAGTTTTAAGCATGAAAAGTGTCTTTTGAAAGGTATCTTCAAAGGTATTTTTTGAAATCCCCTTCTGCATGAGTAGAGGGAAGATTCAGTTTTCTCTGAGGAGCTAAATAGCACACTAAATAGAAAGCCACAGTTGTTGGGTGATCAGTGGAATACATCCACTAGGTAGCAGTGTAGATTATATGGAAAAATGGGCTTCTGTACTAGGTTGAGCAGCTCACTCCAGAGATTTCAGCACATGCTGGAGCAGAGGGGGGAGCCACTGGCGAATATCAGGAAGTTCAAGGGACTAGCAGCCATGGAAAGGGAAGAATGTGCTGAAATTCATGATAAGGAAACAGCCCAGACCACATAAGCTGGTGGACCCTTGGCAGAAATGAGCTCAGTGCTGTGAGGTTTTCACTGGGCAGTGGACAGACCATGACAAAACTCAACCTGAGAGCAATTGAGAAAAGTAGAATTGGGGCAAAAGGTTAATTTTTCATTGATATTCATTTACCTTTATTTCTTCACAATAAATAATTCTTGAATCACAAAGTCATATGGACTTTGTAACCTGAACAAGTTCTAAATTTAAGAGAAGGATGCACTTGAATTTTCAATATACCCTTCTTGATTCCCAAATTAAGCAAACAAGAGAGAAAAAATCACACAAAATTTAAACCAAAACTGACATCTTCAACAAAACTCAGTAATAGGAATTCCTAGGAGCACTGTGCCCATTTGGAAAGTCTGAATCCCAACAGAACACTGGGTACACAGCTTTGAGACTGATTGTTGAGAATGGAACAATCCTTATAGAGTTTAAGAGCTCATTGAAATGAGAGGATCATGGTTTTAAACATTTTAAATCTCAGAAATGTCCAGCAAAGGAGCTCTTCCAATAGGATAGAGCTTCAACCTGAAGGAAACTGCATACAAAAATAAGTGAACAGGCAAGGGGCAAGGAAAGCTCTGATGGTGTGGGAGAAGAACTTAGGAGAAGCAGATACAGGAAGTCCTACAACAACTCCACACATTTCTTCAGCTGAGGGCACAAGTTGGAAGTAGTCTGTAGGGTTCTAGGCTGGAACCAGGAGGGGGCAGAACAACCCATACAACCAAAGACTCAGCTCTGACATCCAGAGGTGGCCTCAGAGATGGGTGCTACTCAGAGGCAGATGCTGTTTTCACAACTACAGAGGTAAAATAACAGCAAAGACACTGGGAGAACTACTCTGCCATCCTCCCAGTGATCTTGGAAGATCTTCATGATTTATATATGAGAACAAAAATGGAAAGAAACTAACCTATACACAGTTATGAGCAAAAATTAAAGAAGAATATCAGGGACAAAGATGAATCACATCCCTCAGTCATGTTGACAATTGATATCTCCTTTTTAAAAATAGCTCTTTATATTCTACCATTTAAGGATCTGTATCTGAAATTAGATATTTCTGAGTCCATTATTTTTTAGGCTTTTGAAAAAGTTCAACTTTGTCTCAAGTACATATTTGAGAAGTCACATCAAAAGCATGCAGATGGGAAGGGTGAGCAATTGTGCAACAATAAAAGATATTTCTAGCATCTATAAAAACATATACTGTCTTTTGCTGCTGCCTTACAACTGTGGACCAGTACCCTATTTAGAGACTGGTTAAATGAACATTTTTCTTTCTGAGATAATTTATATTTGTTCAAATTGTTAAAATTATATTTTCTGTAGTGTATCAACTTCTTTTAGGTAGAAAAGGAAGGTACTTTACCTCCAGAATTACTACCACTCCCCCAATAAAATTCTCCACACTGTTTTACAACTGGGGTTGTTTCAAGGACAGGCATCAATATTTCTGGCAGAAGGAGTAAATGTGTTCAGTTGATAAAAGAGTAGTGGATATTCACCTCACTCAGAAGATAAACTTTCTGTGGCCAGCTGTTAATTATTG